TTTTCACCTTTAATGGTCAGGACAGTAGGAGTAGAGACAGGAAACAAATGAACAGGAGCAGGAAAGTACCTTTAGCTGGGATTCAAACCCATGTTGTCTGAGGTGCAGTTGTGCCTTCACCTCGATGTGCTGCCCACAAGGCTATGGCTCTGACAGAGTTTACTCTACGCTCAGGATACTAAGGGGTGATTCTCTTATATGTCTCATTGAGATATCAGCTTTCTCTTAAGATGTCTTCAGTTTTATTTTAGGAGAAACGTTAAACTTGTACTAATATTGCAAATACTAAAACTATCATTTAAATAGCATTAAACATTTCAGAATATCAAGGGTTACTAGTTTAAATGTTTACATTTATCTTCAATGTCCAGCATTGTATACACCAAATTTTACAAACACACTAGAAAGGACGTACAAGTGCAAGATGTTTAGTATAAGAGCAATACCTTTTTTTAAACAAATGTAACACTATACCAGTGTTTTTTTTCTTTGTTTAGCATTACAATTTTGTCTTGTACAGCCCATTTTTGCATGTATGTAAATATAGGTTATGGTTTCCTCTGTTAAATCATTGTGCAATAAAACACTGTCTACATAAAACAACTTCAAATATGACAATGCATGTATTATCTTTGATTGAAATGGTGAGGATAAATCACATTGACGCTAACCAGAGCGAAGAAAAATGAAATAAAAAAAGAGATCTCTTTAACATTTCAAATATTTCTCCTAGACAGAAATGAGCTTACTTTAAGATTGAATGGAAACTTTTGCTTGAATCTCCTGCTTCTCAAACTTGTCTCCTGCAGACAAAAACGTTATTAAACTTTAGACATTCAAATGTTTGTAAGCAACTGAAAAAACCCTCGGACCCCAGAGGGTTAAAGCTTTAGAAGAGATCTCAACAACATTACACACTGTGCTCAAATATTTCTCCTTGTCTAAAGACTATGATGGTCTCATATTTGTCTCCTTTAAAGTTTTAGAAGAGATCTCAACAACATCACACACTGTGCTCAAATATTTCTCCTTGTCTAAAGACTATGATGGTCTCATATTTGTCTCCTTTAAAGTTTTAGAAGAGATCTCAACAACATCACACACTGTGCTCAAATATTTCTCCTTGTCTAAAGACTATGATGGTCTCATATTTGTCTCCTTTAAAGTTTTAGAAGAGATCTCAACAACATCACACACTGTGCTCAAATATTTCTCCTTGTCTAAAGACTATGATGGTCTCATATTTGTCTCCTTTAAAGTTTTAGAAGAGATCTCAACAACATCACACACTGTGCTCAGATATTTCTCCTTAGCTAGAGACACTGGATCTCTCACATTTGTCTCCTCTAAAGTTTAGAAGAGATATCAAGACAAATATGAGACCACCAGAGTCTTTAGACTAGGAGAAATGTCTGAGCACAGTGTGTGATGTTGTTGAGATCTCTTCTAAAACTTTAAAGGAGACAAATATGAGAACATCAGAGTCTTTAGACAAGGATAAATATTTGAGCACAGTGTGTGATGTTGCTGAGATCTCTTTTAAAGCTTTAAAGGAGACCATTGTGAGAGTGTTAGAGTTTTTGTCTCAGGAGACAAGTTTGAGAAGCAGGAGACTCAAGCAAAAATCTCAATTCGATCTTAAAGTAACCTCATTTCTGTCTAGGATAAATAATTGAGATGTTAAAGAGATATCACTTTAGATTTTTCTTTCCTATGGGATGATGGAAAGTTTTTCTTGATAGTTTTGAAATGTTAGGCCTTTTTGCATATCAGGGTGCATTATCTATACTGAAGTGGCTTACTGGAGTCTTGGAAGTAGACGTCTTTGCCATTGTAGGCGTTTCGCAGCTTGTTGGTCATCACTCGCAGGGTCATGATCTGCTGTCTGATGAAGGTGTCTGGTCTAGTGATGTCCACTTCCACCTCTGGGTTATTGAGCTGGTTCGTAAGGCCGTCTTTTACAACTTCAGGGAAATATCTGGAAATCAACAAGAATTTGGTGGGAATATTTTAATCACAATTGTTCACAGTTGGGGTTCAACAAACACATAAATGATTCACTTTTTTGAATCTATGAACTGATATAAATCTGTATTTGATTACAAATCAAATGCAAATGCATTTATGTACAAAAACCTATTAAATTAAACAAAAATCATAATTTTTTCAAACACATGCCCAAATTACATGCCTTGAAATTCATTTTCTACAGCCGATTATAATAAAACCTTAAACAGGTGTATTTTTTGGTGCATTTGAGGCGGTCACGTGATCAAGTGTTGTTGTTGACTCAAGCATGACCCCATCAGGAGCGACTTTAGCAGGATCAGCACCTCTCACATTCACATTAACATGCCCTGCAGCTCTACATTGTGTGCAGAATGACTTCATTTGCAATATTCACTTGCACTATGTGCATCAGAAGTCAGCGTTTTCGCATCGCCCTGCGTTGTATAACACAAGAATAATGTGAGGCTGCAGGCTGCACTTTCACCTATAGCGTGAAAATCACCTTGGTTGTAAAGGTGCAAACATTACAACTAGATCTGCATTTCTTGAAGGAAATGTTGTGCTTGCAAGGTAGCTAATAAATGTGTTAACGTTTTAGTTAAACAAATCAGAAACGCTTTGAGCTAAAATGTATTGTAAAACAGATAGTTCTGGTACATGTTTATATAAAGATGGACATTAGCATAAATATGAAATGAAAATAAATTGAAAATAATATACAATATGAACATACAATATGAAAATAGATTTAAAATAAATCACAATGCAGTATGCAAATGCTGCAATAACAATGTTGTAAATGAATGGATTGTCATTCTAACAATGTCAGTGGGAGATTCTCAATCTTTAAAATTATTTAATTTATTTAAATACATTTATTTGAATTTATTAAACATTATGAATCCAAGCAACCAGATCCTGCCTAAAATAAAAATAAGAAAGGTAGTTGCGATGAAGTTTAAAATGAAAAATTATAGTTCAACTTTATTTATTTAAATACATGTATTTGAATTTATTGAAACACTATGTAACCAGTTTCTGTCTAAAATTAAATTAAAAAGGTAACTGTGAACAGGATTAAAATAAGAAATTATAGTCAAAACTAATTTATTTAAATACATTTACTTGAATTTATTGAACATTATAAATCCAAACATTATCAGTTTCAACCTAAAACAAAATAAAAAAGGATAAAGTTGAAAATAAGAAAGTATAGTCACAATTATCTTTTCGAATGATCCACATAAAGAAGTTTGTAGAGTCTGTGATTCACACTGAATTAATTGCATATATCATTTTGCCTTTACTGAATTTCTGCCTCTTTATCTCGACCCTGTGAGTCAGTATAAACACATGTTGCAGCATTATGCATGCATCGAACACTATTGAGATCTAATCTCCTAATAAGCGCTTTAGCAGGAGGTAATTGTTTGTGCCTAATTAATATTTCAGGTGGTGCTTTGTGGAAAAATCAATGAAACTTGTTGAATGCTCCCAGGTTGCGGCTTCACAAATGTGCTTCTATTCAAATTCAATTCATGTGGTTTTTAAGCAGTAATTAGCCAATAATGAGACTGTTTTACTCCATAGAGAACAGATCTAACAGACAAAAAAATAATAACAATCAAATCACATGTATTTTATCTCCACCTTCTCTTATCATTTGTGTTAATTTGTCTTTTAGGTACTTAAAAAAAAACTGTGTGTCTTCACACAGTAAGGGTCATTTACATGATGAGGCCGCTTGGAAAGAAAATTAAACACATCTTACATGGCACCATCTGCTGATGTTGTCACTCGTGGAGGACTGAAAAGTGGATGGGTTTTCTGCCAAGCCGTCTGGCTTATTGTCAAAGGCGGGCAGACGGAGTGACAGACATCATGGCATATTCCAATGAGATGAAGTGAGATGAACTGAAGCTACTCTAAAACCACAGGTCTCTCAATCCATTCAAAAGGTTTTATTGTTTTTTATTCTACACACACACACACACACACACACACACACACACACACACACACACACACACACACACACAATACTTAAGGGGGTCTGAATACTTTCCGTACCCACTGTATATATATATATATATTTATATATATATGTTTATAATAATACTGTAATAATATAATGTTTTTTTAAAACATTATATTATTATGATATTATTATGTTAAAGGAAAGGCTGTTTGAGAAATGTAACATGCAAACTGATGTCTTTGAGCATTTCACTGAGTCTTGCGCCATTTAAAAAAAAAAAATCAATCACACTAAATTAATGTGCTGAGTAACAGCTTGTCAATGTAGATGTTCCAAACAGCTCAACTTCATATATTATTAATATACACAACAATTCAAAAGTTTGGGGTCGGTAAGAGTTTTTTTTTTCTTTTAAAGAAGTCTCCTTTGTTCACCAAGGCAAAAATACAGTAAGACAGTAATAGTGTTAATCATTATTACAATATTCTATTTTAATATATTTTAAAATGTAATTGTTCATAATATTCCTGTGATGCAAGGCTGAAATTTCAAAAATTATAGTCAAACTTCTCTTATAATTTTAAATAAATGTATTTTGAATTAATATAATATTGAATATTATAAACCAAAACACTATGCATCCAGTTTCTGCCTAGAATAAAATTAAAAAATAATAAAAATAGAAGGGTAAATTATATTTGAAATTCATTTGTTTCAATACATTTATTTGGATTTATTGAACAATCTAATATAAATATGATTATGTAATAATTAAATATTATTACAATTGAAAATAGCTGTTTTCTATTTGAATATATTTTAAATGTATTCCTGTGATGCAAAGCTGAGTTTTCATTATATGACATTGTCTTTACTGCCACATTTGATCAATTTGACAGCAACCTTGTATTGTGCCAACAGTGTGTTTTGTATTTGCCTATGACCTAATATTGCTAAAACAATTACCATGGTAAGTGTCATTGAAACACAACAATCTGCAATGCGGAATCTGTGTCTGAAGGTGACCGTCATACCTTCCCTTTGTGTGACTGTTCCAGCACTGCTCCTCATCTGGGTCAGTCATTTCATCCTCTGCACACATGCTGTCTGGCAGCGACGACCAGAATTCCTTTGACTCCTTCAGCTTCTCCTTAATGTCGATCACCTGGAATCACACACAGAGAATCAGATTAGCATATGCAACACCACAAAAATGCATAGAGAGAATGAAGATTTAGGCACAGTTTGAACTGAGGGATGGATTGAGTTGGGATTTTTATAAAGGAGGGAAAGATGAGCATGGAACAATTTGCATGGAAATCTCATTCTGGCTCGCCGCACAGTTCACTTTTTCAGTTTCAACACTGTTAGATAATTCATTGGGGACCAGGTGGAAGTCTAATCCTCTAAATTGTGATGGTATTTTCTGTACCAACCAGAAGGACGGATTTTCAAACTGACTGAACGGGATCTCTGGAATCTCTTGTCAACCCACCATGGTGAAGTGAGAGGTTCATAAATTGGACTTATTTGCAGGCATTATGCCAAGATTTATCTGTAAAAAATTGCCTAGAAATGTCTAGTCAGTTGTTAGACGAGTCACTGGTTGTCTATTTCACTCATAACATGCCTTATTAAATGGTTGCTGTTCTTCAACTTTCTAGACATGCACAATAGTTATACTATTTATTGGCTAGCAGTGCTTGTTAAGGCAAGAATCACTATTATTATTTCTTAAAATTATAATAAAATTACAATTACAGTCTTTTCAGTGACTCTTTCTTTGAGTTACATCATTGCACCAGTAAGTGGAGACAAGTGAGTCAGTGATTAATTCAAACAATTTGCTTAAAAACACTGATTCAGTCATGAACAAAACAACTGGCCTATTTATTAGCCTATTATGGAATCATTCACTAAACTGATTAATTAAGTCATTCATTTAATCAATTTGCTCAAAACAATGATTCATTCAGGAACAAAGCTTAACTAGAAATGAATGTTCACGTTTTATTGTTAAAATGTTCTGGAAAGGTTCAAAACAAACTCACACACAAATGCCAAATAAAATTAGCAACATTATGCACTTTTTGTTTTTATAAACATGAAAATAATAACATTAAAAATGATGGCCATATTTTAAATAAACAAAAATATATTGGTTGGGTGACATACAACTTGTACTATCCACTAAAATGTACTATGTTGAAAAAAAATATATATATAAAATTAAAAACATCGCATTTCAGCCTTTAAATCATTTTAAGAAAAGGATTAGTTAATTACAGGCATTTTACCTGCTTCATAAATAATTCTAAGGCTACCTTATTATTTGAAGTGTTGAGATTTTTAGAATGCACATTAGCTTGTTTTCATCAATGGGTTTACAGATTTTTACAGCAAAATTTTGCTGTAGATTTTCGATTTACAGCAAAAATGTAGTCAAATTTTTGCATTGGTCTGAAAAAAATGGCAGACAGGCTGAATGAAAATGTAAATCAACTGTCTGACAGTAGGTGGCGCATATGGAAAAGCAGGAATATAGCTGTTTTCTAGTAACCTCTGTAAACAAAGCAGTGCTGCACTTATAAAACACTACTTTATTAAGAGGTAAGACATTACACAGGGGGAAGATGAAAAGCAAACCTTGGAAACTTTTCTAAAGACTGTCAGCTCCCCCTTATGCATTCATTGAATTCATTCATTCAAACATTCTTTCATATAATTCATTCATTCAAACATTCTTTCATAAAATGAAACCTATCAAACATTCTTTCATATAATTCATTCATTCAAACATTCTTTCATATAATTCATTCATTCAAACATTCTTTCATATAATTCATTCATTCAAACATTCTTTCATATAATTCATTCATTCAAACATTCTTTCATATAATTCATTCATTCAAACATTCTTTCATAAAATGAAACCTATGCTGCATGTTCCGTCTGCGTGAGACTGTTACTAACTTTGCATTTGCTAAGCAGTATTTACAGTGGGTTTTTCAAAAATGTGAAATATGAAACAGTAATACTAACCGTCAGGACTTTTTATCGTCTCTCTGCACTCTGCCTTCCATCATGTTTTCACATAAAATGAAACCTATGCTGCATGTTCCGTCTGCGTGAGACTGTTACTAACTTTGCATTTGCTAAGCAGTATTTACAGTGGGTTTTTCAAAAATGTGAAATATGAAACAGTAATACTAACCGTCAGGACTTTTTATCGTGGCTTATTGTCAAACCGGTAACCATTTCATCCCTACACTTAACCAATGAACTGAAGCATTCACAAACACAGATTCACTTAGGGACAAAATACCTGACTGTCTTTGTGAGTGAGTCATTGAATCATTCATTCAATTGATTCGCTCAGAAATGCTGAATCATTCAGGAAGAAAACATGTTTCTCTTGCTTGGAGACACACAACTCTGGAACTATTTTCCTCGGCGGAGCAATCATTCATTCAAACATTCTTTCATATAATTCATTCATTCAAACATTCTTTCATAAAATGAAACCTATGCTGCATGTTCCGTCTGCGTGAGACTGTTACTAACTTTGCATTTGCTAAGCAGTATTTACAGTGGGTTTTTCAAAAATGTGAAATATGAAACAGTAATACTAACCGTCAGGACTTTTTATCGTGGCTTATTGTCAAACCGGTAACCATTTCATCCCTACACTTAACCAATGAACTGAAGCATTCACAAACACAGATTCACTTAGGGACAAAATACCTGACTGTCTTTGTGAGTGAGTCATTGAATCATTCATTCAATTGATTCGCTCAGAAATGCTGAATCATTCAGGAAGAAAACATGTTTCTCTTGCTTGGAGACACACAACTCTGGAACTATTTTCCTCGGCGGAGCAACAATATACAAACTAACTGGTGGTAGTGTGTCAAAACTTTACGTTACTCAATATTAACTTCTTGTTTATTGAATTGCTGTATACAAACGCTCTTGCTCGTGTGATATTGCTTGAATAATACAGTTTGTTTCGTAACTCGGTCCACAGCGTTAGTGGTAAAGACATGAATGTTTCATGTGGCCTGTTACTTTTTCTAAGTGATTAGATTGTTTAATCTTCCCAGATGGACCATACAACAAAATATTACAATAAATACAATAAATTCACCTTGCAAGATTACCCTAGCATTAGCGTAGAATCATGGTGCAAGTTTTTTCCACAGAAAATGTGCTAACCTGATCTATTTTGTGTAGCTAAACCTAGTGAAGATGAACAGATTCCTTTAAAAAACTTCCATTGAGGGTTTAGTAGATAATATACTCACTTATTCTGGTTTGTATGAGGTGTACCTTCTAGGTCAAAGTAAAATGGCCCCAGACGGTCTTCAATCAACCAAAGGCATATTCTATTATTTATCTACATTATACTGTTACTACCTTTTGTGCAAGAGAAAATTAGGTTGTGCTGAGACATTACAGAATCATCGATAAAGTCTTGCTTTCTGGTACATCACCAAATCTGGGCCCAGAGCTTCAGACGTGTGCATATTGATTTTATTAATGAAATGCACCACACTCCAGAAAGCAAACAGATTGATGCTTATCAGTGCAGGGTTCTGACTGATCTGATGCAAGATACTGTAAATGCTACTCTAGGAGGTAATAAAGGTCCTGTCGCGTGACTCGTGTTAGGGTTTCAGCACAATTCTCAATTGTTTTAGCATTCTATGTGAAGTATTTTTAATTCCAGAATGATTAGAACCATTTTTAAACATTTTATATTTATCATTTTAGTTATAGATGTGTTTGTTTCTTCATGGGAACATATTTTGAGAAATGTAGCATTACAGCAATATGATCGTCTGCAGTGAATGGGTGCCATCGGAATGAGAGTCCAAACAACTGATTAAAGTTAAAAATATCTTGATGGATTTGCTTCTTGCAAACACACAGCTTTTCATTCACAAGATGTTAATCAATGGACTGCAGTCATGTGGATTACTGGTGGATTAATGTGATGTTTTTATCAGCTGTTTGTTCTCTCATTCTGACGGCACCCACTCACCGCAGAGGATCCATTGGTGAGAAAGTGAGTATATATTACTGGAAAACAAGAGGAAAAGATTGTACTTCATTACTGTGAGGAATTTACTATTGTATTTTTTATTGTGTTGAACGCAGCTTTGATCCTTGATGTGGGTTTTTTTTTTTTTTTTTTCTGATATTAGACATGTTTGAGTACCAGAGCCCTGGAATACTCATTATGCAATTCGCCATAAATACCCCATGCTAAGTCACATTAATTCTTGTTGGCACAGGAAACCTGTACACATCCTGTATGTGTCATCATGCGAGTATATTAGGTTTCTGACATATAATAATGATATAATTGGATTAAAAGGTGCTGGATGTCACGTTCTGCAGAAATAAGCTGTGCTAAATGACACCGAGGTTATCTGTGGAGTCAACAGCAACAGCTAGAGGCACGACATTAAAGAATGTGTATTGACGGCATGTCAGAGTTGGAGACTGCTTTGCCCTTTTTGAAGTGCTAATCTGTGTGCACGGCTTGCAGAGATCTGGAGCAGTTTCACTGTGCTTTTGGTTAGCATTCACAAGGTGTTAGGCTGGATACTGATAATAACACATTAGCATGGATGCTTTAGGAGGGTGTCGAGATAAACACACAACAGTGAAATGTACAGCAAAGATAGTTGCTATGTTATATATGTATAATGTACATATATGAGACATATATGGTGATGTTTTTGTTAGACTGGGTACATATGGGATTAGATTAACTTTATGTAACAAATAAATGGATGATACATTTCTCTTTACATACTGACCATGATAGCCATGGTAAGTCACACACACACACACACACACACACACACACACACCCACCCCTGACAGGCTAGGGTGTTGCCCTTCTTTGATGTGTAGCCAGTTTGTTTGAGAAACACACTTGAGCTGCTGTGACGTGCCCGAGAGATCACCCCACACATGATAGGTCCCTTGTCTGCACTGCCTTGACATCCTGGGAATCTTGTGCACACACACACACCCCCCCCATACTCATACACTGTTGTTCGACTGCCAGCCTTGACCTGTATTTGTAATATTTTTGACTGTTTACAAAACACAAAATGTATGTACCGTTTCTGTGCAATGACGTATGATGCT